CAATTTAGTTATTGAATAAGTAATTATTTCATTATTATCATGTATTTTTAATATAAAGTTAAGATCATGATTACTAATTACTGATTAACACTAGAGCAACAGGGCAAACAAATGCAAGCCCAGCCTAGTCTCAACAACCCAGTACATAATTGCACAAACTAAGAATATGAATCCAAGTTAATTTTTGTATTCTTAAAACAACTTAATTAATTAGAATTCTTACAAGAAATTTAGAAGAATGTTAAAATTAACTCCAGTCAGTCATAAAAGAAAGCTATAAAGTAAGCCAAATAATTGTTATCCCTTTAATTCAATTATAGTATACTTTAATACAAAACAATACAAATTAAGATACTTTCTTCTTCGAGACAATGAAGGTATATATTTTGCTTAAGACTAGTAAGGCCTAACCCTGTTGTACCATTTTGCTGTTTTTCCAGATGTCAACAAAATTGGCCTTCCAATTTAATATATAAAGTACCTACTTGACAATATAGAATAGGCACAAATGGGCAAACAAACATAAGCCTAATTTAGTATAAAAGTGAACAACTGTTTTCTATGTATGCCAGGTGTTTGTTATGTTTTTAATATAATATAATTTAATGGTTTAATAGCAACAACAGTATAGGCATATGAGAAAATAATCCTGGGATTTGGGGCTATCAACATTCAAATGTTATACAAAAATAAAATTGCTAGTAAATAACTAGAATATTTAATGACAAAACCATCTCACCTTGCCTAATTTGTGACTATTAGTTAGGAATGAATTTAGTGGATTGTTGTAGAAAACTTGATCAAGGAAATTAAGTCAATTGTGAAATATGTTTTTAGGCCAGATGTTGATATTATTTTGTAAAATTATTAATACCATGCAGTTTTCTGTCTTGTTGTTCAGTTTAGTGTCAGTAGTAAAATCAAATTACAAAAATTAAAAGCAGAATATATAACTAATTCTATAAGCACAGTTCATTTGAAACAAACCTCAAATATTAGCTTTTATACTGCCTTTAAATTTGCCTATTTGAGTTCACTTAAATAAATATGAATGTGTTATAGGCCTACTTGTGATTTTTTTGCAAAATGGAAAATTCTTCAAGACGACCCAGTAACAAGACATTTCTTTGTACTAAAGTAATTTTATATGCATCACAAGATGAAATAGTGGTATAAACAAAACAAGGTAAAACTATTTCTCATTTTAATATTAATTTCAATAACTAGTTAATGCCACAATAATTTCTTATAAATGCTAGTTCTGCTGCTACAAGTAGAAAGCTATTATTCTTGGCTCTGCTTTACAGACTTTCAAATACATCTCATATTGTGGCTGTGTGTGAAGACAATCTAAAAAGGTTGAGGCAAAGGCTTATCAATGGTTTTGTACCAATGTCACGGATAATCAATATGTGAAAATGGCCTGAGCAAAAATTCACTAGACCATAGAGTTTTCACAACACCAATACCAGCTCACTTTAATAATAACACATTTATTTAACCTGAATAAGGTTAAAACTGAAGAATATAACACTACTGTCAACTAGCTCAATCTTACGAAATTTGTATAACTTAATCTCAATATATATATATTTCAAAACCTGTACAGCATTACTGTTACCTAACCTTAATAACAAGAAACTTGTTTATTTTAAAAGAGAGATAAATTTTACAGCATGTCAAACACTACAATAATCTAGTTTCAATAATAATAATGTTTAATTTAAAACAATTTTTTATTTTGTAACATGCGCAAGAATAGTGTCAAGTAGCTTCTAGGATAAGAGCCCTACCTGAACTTAAAAGTGAATGTATGTTCTGTAGCGTGTCCAACAAACCTATCAGATAGATTCAATAATAACAAATTTATTTAAATCAGGTGTATATTTTACAGCATGTTAAACACTATTGCATCTTATAATGAATAACAAACAAACTTAAGGATGAATGTATGCTTGCAGTATGTAAAACACTACTTCCACCTAGCATGAATAATACACATATAGTGAATGTATGTTTGCAGTATGTAAAACACTACTTCCAACTAGCATGAATAATAAACATATAGTGAATGTATGTTTGCAGTATGTAAAACACTACTTCAACCTAGCATGAATAATAAACATATAGTGAATGTATATTTGCAGTATGTAAAACATTACTTCCACCTAGCATGAATAATACACATATAGTGAATGTATATTTGCAGTATTTAAAACACTACTTCCACCTAGCATGAATAATAAATATATAGTGAATGTATGTTTGCAGCCCATTTATTACTACTTTAATTTTTCTCCTTAACCAGTTCAACTTACTGACAAGTTATTTTTAAATTGACTTTCTATATCCCCAGTCAATGTTGAAACATGTGGAATGAGTAGTGTTTTTGTTGAAGGAACTTTGGATGTAGACAAGCCACCTGTGGACAAGTCATCAAAATTTGTCTGAAGAAGATGGTGAAACTTCTGGTGTCGCAGCTTAAGATCATGAAACTGTTTCTTGAGCTTGGAATGCACTTCTGGAGGGACTGTTTCTCTATAGAAATTGAGTATTATAAAACAATTATTCTGTGATAAACAGTTGTAGTGATTTTTTTAAGTGACATATATTAAACTATACCACAAGCAATTTTGTATTATGAAATAATGAAAAATCACCTACTCTAAATAAATTACCAAATAATAACTACCTGGAGAATGTTTAATCACAGTAAGTACATTAAAAAGTAATAATTTACTTCTGATTGGATCATTAACTGTGGTTAACAATGTTTAAATAACACACTTAATGACAGACTAACACATTCATTAACTCTAATTAATGATGTTTAAGTATTTAACATAGAGAAAATTCCAATTAAAAATAGCAATTTTTGCAACCTCTAAAAAAAAAGTTTTATAACCTCAATGCTTAATTAAATTCACACAAAATGGAACATTTTCTTCTCATTCACAATACAGTTAGTTAATTAACTGAAACAAAACATGCACCAATACATACATAGAATAAGTAAAAGAAGCAAACAATTTTTGTGCGTTTTGTTCACAGTTAGGTTAGGTTCTATAAATTTGATTTTTTAAGTTAGTTTCATTAATAACTTTGGATGTATTGTTTAATAAATACATATACTTGTACACATTTATTACTATTTGTATTTTATACTTAAGATGATTATTTTGTACTGTTAGCTTAGTATGTGAACTTAGGGCTAACCTAAATAATCTCCTAATGTGGTCAAACCTCATGAAATATTGAGTTTATAGCCAAACATACTGATAACAACAAGGGTTCGCAACTGATGAATGAATCCATTGTAATCATTAAAAGTTTATGTTTTATAACACTGAATATTCTTTATTAGACTGGTATCTTTACTTAGCTATATTATTTACATCAAAGCATTTGTTCTGACCTATATAGGTAGTTTGCTTTGATCAGAAGTTATAACTTTGTTTTAACTGATCATATACTGAATGCATATAAAACTAAAATTTTCTTCTCCTCCACAATATAAAGACTTAGTGGAAGAGAATAACCTTTATGTCACTAGAACAGCTGCCCTTTTAACACTTCACAGACTGGGTGTGGGGTGTCATTGATATCCCTTGATTTTGTTTCTCGTAAAATAGAAATACTCAACCAGATTGGATAAAATTTAGAACAGGCTTACTAAATAATAGATAGTTTTGGTTAAAAGATTCATATAATCTGATTTAGTTTTTCTATTATTTTTCATGTTGTGCGATTTGAAAAAAAAATCCTTTCATTATTGGGTTTCAACTCTTTTAGTTGTTGATCAGAAAGTTTTATTTTATATACATAGTAAATTTCAACTTCATCAATTTCAATTAACATATTTCTTTTGTAAATATTTTGCTGATTGCGGTAGTTAATATTTCTAGGTATAAATCATAACCACTGCAGATATTGACAAAGATTTATTGGTGACCTAGAACTTGATTTTTTAAAATGGTGCCAGACCAGGTAAGGCAATATTTTGGCTAACAAAATTCTTGGTTGAAATAAATTTATATCTAATAAATATGCTTTCTTTTTAACAAACAGTTTTTTTCATTTATGTAAATTTGTTGAACACAATAAACATAACAATAATATTCAATAAATAAGGATTTGAGTCACTGGAATACTTTTTCATCAATACCACATACACTCTAAATCTAACAAAGCTTACCTGATGTCTTGTCATACAAGAAAATTGGTATAACTTTCATGAGCAAAAGGTATATTTAAAGATTCTAAGAAAAAATAATCCTCAATCTGTGGTTTGTCTTCTAAACTTTACACTAAATTCCATTGTTCTTTTCTGCAGGAGAAACATCTAATCACTTTTTAATGACAACCATTAGTTATTTCTCAAACCTCTTTAGTTACTTTACATTGATGTAAATAGTTATAATCTTCTCTATCAAATGGCATTTACTCTTTGCCTGTAGCTCCATCAGTAGATGTTCTCACCCATTTATGACCTCATAGCATGTGATAACAAATCTTTAGACAGAGAAAGCAAACCACAAGAGAAATATGTCTTGGATAGTTATAATTTAAAGGGATGATAGTTTATTAATAAATAAAGACATAAAAATTAGGATTTGGAATAGGCAGTAAAATTATAAAACCCAATCAGTGTATTATTTACAGGCAAGACTCCTCAGAGCTGTGCAAAAATGTAAGTTTGAATGCTTTTTATTTTGCAAATTATACTATGCAAATGTTAAAAAGATATAAAATATTAAAACTTAAACGTTTTTGACAAAATATTGTTGAAATGGAGTTAGAATTATTTTTACTTTTGACATTTGATATGCAGGTGTGCCCTTGACACCTGAAAGATGATCACAGGTTAGGATAGGATTAAAGACAAAGTGGAAGATTGTATCCTTTTGTATTTCACTAGTACTGTGGTTTGTGTGTATAGATGTGATGGAAGACAGTGGCATTCTTCATGTCACAGGAACAGCCATTCTTTATACAAAGACTTCGAGGAAGATAATATCCTTCCTCATGTCACTAGAACAGTCACTTTACATATAAAGAATTAGATCAATAGTAACAGATAAAAATGTTTATATATTTTACACTATTCGCTGAGTTAACTTACTATGAAGATTATCATTTGAAGTATTTGTGAGTCTACTCGTGGCATAACAGACTAACAAAACAATTTCCCTTAAGTTACTTAATTTCATAAATAATACAAACTCTAACATTGAAATATTTTCAGTTAGAATAAGGAAATGTCTAACAAGTTTCATTCAGAGAATCATTTAAGAGAAACTATAATTAAATCACTTACTTCAAAGCTCCTTTTTCAAATTGAAATTGTTCAATTTTGGCTTCAGCAATCTCAAGTTTATTTTTAAGTTTTGAAATAAGCCTTGCATATTGTTTCTGTTTCTGTAAAAATAACACCCAAAAAAAAAGAATGTTACTGTATATTAAAAACACTAAATGAACTCTACACTTTTTTTACTGTAGTGTGAAGCTATTTAATCTGGCACCATCCATGAGCTCTACATTTTGTTAGTACAGTGTAAAGCTGACAGTTTAACCTAACAACTTCTATGAACAGTTTTACATTTTCTATTGCTATATTGCTAAATTAACTGTTTAACCTAATGCCTCATATAAGCACTGTCATTAGTAGTGCTAAGCTAAAAGTTTAATCTGATCCCTCCCATAAACAACCTGATCTATTGAATTTTGGATAGATTACATTTGGATTATAACTTGATCTATTTGAATCTGTCTACAGTACTGTAATTAATCTTTTACCTTCTTCATTCCAGTTATTTCACTGTTAGTCTGTGTGTGTTTTTCACGAATCTCTTTCTCTAGATCATCTATGTGTCGCTGATACTGGCGTTTTTCTTCTTCCCAATTCAACCGTTGTTTCACTAGATTTCTTTCAATTACCTCTTTCTCTTGAGCTCCTTGTGACTTTAGTGTCTTTTAGAGTAGAAAAACTTTTGATAAGAAAGAAAATAACTTCTACACATACTTCAACAAAACATATTTTTAATCTTTATTCTTAGCACAGCATATTTCACAATTTCCTTTGCTATTTTTACATCCAACCCTTACAGGTTAATAGTACAAAATTAATTCTCTAAAAAAAATAAATTATTCAATTAAGTATTCATAACTGATATCTTATTCTCCAAGACTGACATTAATGTGTTTTTCAAAACCATCATTATATTCTTAAAAGCAGCTACAAAAACTTTTCAGTGTCTTTTAAAAAGTGAAGCTCTTGAAGTTAGTGTTTGGGAAATCAGTTTCAAGACTAGTTTATCATTCTATCTACCATAACTTCGTAAAGAAAATAACATATCCTAACAATTAACAAGTCAAATTCTGTATAAATAAAATGAGTAATCAGAAGATTAACATCAAAGCTATTTTAATATTCTGTCTACCATAGTTTCCTACTGAATATAACACAACCTAGTGATTAAAAAGTCATATTCTATAAAAATAAAATCTGCATTCAGAAAATTAACATCAAAACTAGTTTATCATTCTGTCTATCTGATTTCCAAACGAAAGTGAAATAACCTTACTAACTAACAATTCAAATTCTCTACAAGTGCAAAAAAGAGGTCAAAATATTTATTTAAAAGCTAATTTATTATTCTGTCTAAAAATATTCTTTAAATAATGTAAGATATCCTGTTAACTAACAAGTAAAATGCTGTAAGGACAAGACCAGTTACTAATATCATCTTCTAATATTTAATAATTACATCTACCAAGCTTAGATTAAGTAAGATATTCTGGTGATTAACAAACATAATTCTTTAGAGACAAATTCAGTTATTACATGAGTTGAGTACATTATATGAAAACAATTGTGAAGCTTCATCATGTTGCTACTCTCTATGTCACCATGGCAACCATGCATCTTGACAACAGCCCTGCAGCATATTTTGTATTGCAAAAGGCTGTATGGCTAGGGCACACCACTCCTCCCTGCTCGCTTTACATAGTCCATGTAGTGTATACAGACAGTGGTTTCCCAACTCTCGTTTAAACAGTCTGATCACACAAAAATCCAAAAGTGATGCATCCAGTGACTTAACCAGTATGTTGTGGTATTGAATAGCATGAATACACATATCATTTTCCAGCTGCTTGAGGTATGTGAGGGTTGAATGGAAGGCATGACTGTAACCCTTATCTTGGTGAACCCATAACCATGTTGGCCTCATTTCTGTGTGGTACAAAGGGTCCAAAATATTGGTCTTATAATATTCACCAGGACTTTTACATACACTCTCAGAATCCCCAACTTGTCTTTTATACAATATCCATCAATGATCACGAATCTCACTAACCAATAGGAAATGGCACAGATTCGGGATTAGATGTGAGAAACCTATGGCTATCATTGGCTGAAACCACATTCAGGCTTTCCACCAATCATAACGAGGGATAAACAAACCAGTCATAACATGTCCTCCACAATCCACCAGGATACTATAAAAGACCTGCAACAGCTTACATACACTGAGTGGAAGATGAAAGGCAGAAGACTTTCGAAACATCATCCTCTACACTTGTGTTTTGTTGTTTTTTTTACATCAGACAGTTGCCATCTATTCTAGTATACTCATCAGGTACAAGATTTGTTACAGTTAACAACATACAAATGCTGTTTGTCAAATACCACTACATACTGCCATTTTCACCCAGCTAGATAATATTCATGCAATTTTCTGCACTCAGTCTTCCTTTTCTGGATATATCATGGAAGCAACTTGTATACACAAGGCTAACATTGCTTTTCCAGATGGATATCCTTCTTTATTATGCTGTGTACTGTTGTCAGAGGCATGTAGATGGCTTTTGTTACAAACCTTTTTATTTGTGGATTCTCATCTTTACTAAACACCATATGTTTACTTACCATGGCTGAGGTACAACTTGTTGCAGGTCTCTTTCTGGATGATCCTTGCACCCCAAGTTTACCTAAACTCTTTTTTTTTTCTAATGCTATAAGTACTAGTGACATCACCTTTTAAGTTCTATGTCCTTAATCTGAACACAATTTTATGATCTTAATGTATGAATATTTTGCTTCAGTAAATGCTATCAAATACTATTCCCAAAAGCAATCAATTTTCATTGGAATCACACTACCCACAAAATGCCAAACAATGCCAAAATGTAATTTTGATACTTTCTGTTGCACCATGACTTTATATTGATTATGATTATCACAAGACTTCTCAATTAAATATTCAAAATTGTTTTAATATAACATACTCGACCCTCTGTACAAGATAATCTTAAAGCTAGTTTATTATCCTGTCTACTAAGCTTCTATAAAGAAAGTAAGATATTCTGTGATTAACAGGTGAAGTTTTCAAGAGATTAAACTAGTTATTATAAGATTGTCATCATGACTAGTTTATTATCCTGTCTACTAAGCTTCTATAAAGAAAGTAAGATATTCTGTGAAGTTCTCAAGAGATTAAACTAGTTATTATAAGATTGTCATCATGACTAGTTTGTTATCCTGTCTACTAAGTTATTCTAAAGGAAGTAAGATATTCTTGAGATAGGGAATAAATCTTAGGTGTATACAGAAAATATTTTATGTTATAATTTTTTTTTATCTACTAGACAAACAACTTTTTTAAATTCCTAGTTAACTCCTGGAAATTTCAGGCAAATACAAATTACTTAAACATTCTAGACTTGGAAAATAAAGTAAATTATGATTTCAAATTTATAAAAAAGAAAAAGTGACATAAGGAAATATTTGTTTCAACTATAAACTTATACATATTAAGCTACTATTTAACTTAATTTGTTTAGAATTAATACTTGCAAGTGATTTTTGTAAAAGTAGCACCACGACTTCTTCCTAAAAGGCTATTAGTTGCTTTTCATTTGTACAACAGTGAAATATTGAAACTTTGCCAATAAAATAATAAATGACTAAATAAAACAGTTGTCATGGTCAGTAACCTATACAATAAACCACCTAAGTCTAATTAGAAACTTTATTTTTTTTAAATATAATCAGATAAGTACAGACTAGTTTTTAACTTATGTTTCATCTGTTCATTTTGCTACAGTCCTCTTGGAAGTCCTGAGAAGGAGTATTTTTGTGTGTTGGTAGTTATTGACTGGGATTCAATCCTGGGTCTTCATGATGGTAATCTACTTAATTAACCACTCTACTGAGGTGTCCAAGAATTCCATCAAGATAGAGGATCAAATCATGGACACTACCAGCATAGAAAATAGTCCTTCTTAGGACTTCCCAGAAGATAGTATCAGATTATCAGCTAAAATGTAGAATAAAAACTGATTAGTAATCTACATATTATATATTTAAAAAGCTGCAAATCAATAATTAGACTTAGGTGATTGTATCAGCCAGTGTTTCTCAGCCACCTATTTCCAGAATGGCATTTTTCCCTCACTACCACCTTCATATGTAAATCGTAATTTTTGTTGTTGTTGTACTTGCATTTTAGTAATCCTCTATTGTTTAAAGAGGCAGCAAGCCATTCCCTGGTATCAAAAGGTTGAGACACGCTGGTATAGGCTATTAAGTAAAATAATAATTATATATAACATCTATGTTAAAAAACAAGCTTTACAAAAAAGTACATCCAATACAAAGTCACCAGGGCACAAGCTATAATGTGGTATATAAGATGTGTTCTTGTTTTAGGAGGTGAATGGAGAAGTAGGATCCATATAACAGTGGGGATACACCATCTATCAGTCTTAACCTCCATTTGCAAAGCCTCACATGTAAAGAACACAAAATGTAAAATAAGAATAAATGAGAAAACAAGACACATGTGTTCAAGCCCACAATGTTCCACATCTATATCACCCTTCATCGCTTGCAAACAGTAGTGAGTAGGTGAATGCTCTCAGAAGAAAATAAATGAAAAAGATCCTACTATTGGAGGTGGTAAGTAATAAAATTTTACCTAAAGTTGGCATTCCAGCTCTCATTATGGTGGTATAGCTCAAATTAATAAGATAAATCTAGTGATGTAGCAGGCAAGTTATACTAGAATAAAATCCCTACCGAGTTATCTGAAGAAGTATAACACCCATCCTCCACCTATAAAGTCTGCTGTGACTATTTATATTCAGATATTCTTCTACTTTTTATATGCAGGCAATGATGTAGATGTGGGATGTTGTGGCCTTGGGAATCACATTTTGCTCTTATTTTTTCTTTACACATGAAGCTTTGTAAACAGAGGTTAAGACTGATAGATGGTGTATCCCCACTGTTATGTGGATCCTAATTCTACAGTCACCTCAAAAAACCTAAAACACATTTTATATCCCACAATATAGCCTGTGTCACAGTGACGACTTTGTTTTTATTTTGCAGCATTTTCAAAGATTTATTTTGTATTATGAATATGTTCTATTTTATCATATTTGGTCTTGCTATTTGTAATGGAGTCCTTCCTTTTGATGTAAAGTTTAACTTATGTGTTTAGATAACATTTATGTTTGCATTATATTCATATATATATATATATATATATATATATACAGTTTAAGGCCTCCATAGATGAAACTGTGAAGCATGTTCAGCAGTATGGTGAGGCTTGAGTCTTGGACCTCATGAATTCTAACCCAGCACACTAACAACTAAGCTAACCTGGCCTGTTTATCCTTAAATAATACAGCTCACTAATGGAAATGAGTGAACAATAATGCTTCTTATTTTATTTTTTACATTTTATAAATTATTAAAATTTGTGTCCTGCTTTTAAATGCCTCTCTTCTATATGTGACAGTCATCATTTTCAGCTTGATTACTAAAATTAAACTAATAATTAATTTTTAATTTATTGAGTCACTGTTTTACCTGTTCATTCCTTGTAATATTAAAATTATTACTGTTTTTAATATATATACACATTGTCATTTATATAAATATAAAATCTGATCATAAAGTCAGCTACATCATTAAACTACAAGGAATATGTAAGGTAACACCATCAAACATCTATAACAAGTGATACATGGTAAATAAATTGCAATATTTACCTAATCTTCCACTTTCGTGCCACAACTGCACAGTTTCCATAAATCCTATTGCTGATTTCCACACATGACTAAAAACAAGCTTTAGCACAAACTATTTGATGATCATAAAAAACTGCAAAAACATTTTGGTAACATAATACCTGATAATCAGAACGAAGCTGTGATAAAACCTCCTTCAAATTTTCACGTTGTTGAAGTAATTCTTTTTGGGCATTCTCCTCCACTTTTACTCTTTTCTGTAAGTCACTGACCTCCTTCTGGAGACTGTGGTTTTCTTTTCGTAATTGAGTCAGTTCTTCTACCTCTAGCTGTACAGCCGCAAGTTTAGCTCTAATACACACACACACACACATATATATATATATATATATATATATATATATAAGGTATATATATTAAAACTATTATATCAATTACATTAATTGTCAATAGGCAAACAAGATCAGCACTATAAAACAATAATGAACTTAATATAAATTCAAAACTAGTTAAAAAATAAATAAATAAACCTTCGCACTTTTTGGTCGTCATACGAAAGTTATAACGGAGATTTCCTGTGGTAATAGTACTCAAAAGCATTGAGGATATCCCATCTATCAGACAAAATCCAAAATGTAGATGAGAAACCAGTCAGAAGTAGTGGAAAGTTCATTAAGGGTACAGAGTTGAGTGCTTACACCCACAACGTCTCAACTCTTTCTGCCTTTCACCATCTGCAGCCAGTTGTGGGAAAGCAGTTACCCTTAAAAAGATATAATAAAGTTAGTGTGTTGCCTCGATTTAAACTCAACTAGCGTCTTCAGAGCATCAATATCAATTCCAACATGCCGGCCACTGCCATCACAGTTTTTAAGGCTAAAGTCACCTGAACAAAATTTGCTGAACCATAGTTGACATTTACGAACATTCAAAATATTTCCATAAACTTCTTTGATATTTTTTTTTGTGGCTACAGATGTGTTGTTTCTCTTCTTGTATTCAAACAGCATTACATGCTGAATGTGTGTCTTCATCATGGGTCATCACTATAAGGGATTAGAGTATACTAAACTTTAAACATTATACAGGCTATATTGACGTGACGTTTAGGCAGTTTGTTTAACTATTATACGTGATGTACGTTTTTTGGGGGGTGGTTAATGAAAGTGTTCCATTAATTTCTTGATGACCTAATATATAATTTTTTTTTATTTCTACCTATTAAGTCCTTTCCTCTACTCTATAAAAATATGAATTGATAGTAAAATAAACTATAAATTAAAGGGCAAAATGAAATAACTTAGCAAAAATTATGTTTCACATAGTTACTATTCTTAAAGATTGCCTCATATATTTATACAAAATTTTAATTTACAACCTTATGGGCTTGCAAATGAACATTATCATCTTATGATTGTTAGACGACAAGTATCTCATGAATTTACACTTTGTGAAAATACAAAATATGAACTGTAATTACTGAAGACCAGTTGAGCCTTGTGTTTATGATAGATTTTCAACTTCATATTACAATTTAAATCCTTAAATTTAAATCCTTATCAATCTTATTCATATCCAAAATTTGTTCATGTTAATGTGTCAATTCAGCACGGCAATGTTTCACCCTGATATATATATGTATGTTCCAGTTTTGTGCAGCTAACACTATTCTGAATACCAACCTTCTATATAACTGTTCCGTACCTTTATAAACAATTTGTCACAAATAAAATGCTACCGTCACTTATATATAGTCTTAGACTTTTATTTACCTGTAAATATAAATAATTTGCTATATACTCACCTCAAAACCTATAAAAACACCACAATATATCAGACACAGTGCTTTCTGCCAGAGAAGCAAGGAATCTCTCGGCTAATGACAGCTCAGTACACCTGAAGCATTATGGCCACAGATAGTTTGACCAGCTTGAATATTTTTCCCTAAAATTGATCTTAAATTCTCTGAAGCCATGAATCTTTCCTTTAATATCATTGTTCTTCTCACACAGCCGAGAAATTTCAACTGAGAAATGATTGTGCCCTCACGGGTTGCAAAAGTGAAACCAATTTTGGTGGGTCAGCCAAATCATTGCCACGGGTCACTAAGTGACCCCCAAGTCATAGGTTGCCAACCACTGGTATAAATTTTAATATTTGTGATTATTACACTTTGACTTTTAATATATGGAAGGGGCATGTTTACTTTTTAAAAGGGAATATTGTTTAACAAGTAAACTTCTCATATGCCAAATATTTAATAAAACAATATTATCAGATATGCAGCCACACAGAAAAATCTACTCATACGTCTAATATCTATAAAACACTTTCACATGTTAATGAAATCATCCATTGATCCAGGGCACACTATTATTTTTGCACATACTTTGAAATTGTGTGTATGTAGTTCATTTATATCAAAACTATTAAAATGTTTGAATCAATGTGACCATATATTTATTGATCAATGACATTTTCAGATTCATATATTTCCATTCAGAAGGTCACCAGATTATACTTACAAATAATAAATTGATAAATTTTAGTTACGTATACAGGACATTTCATACACAGAATCAAACCTGCTGATGAAACATCCGAAACATTTATAGTCGCTTTATAATCCTATCACATCAAAAAGTATAATTGTACTTATAAAGGCTACGGTAACAGACACCAATGTGTGCAAAAGTGTGCATCACTGACAGTGATATTGCATTACAGTATTATATCACTTGGGTGTTAAGTTTTTTAACATTCTTACATTATATAAAACCTGCTACTAAGTAAAACTTTTATTAAAACTACTTACATTATTCATATTCTGGTATGGTCTTTGGATTTAGACACAATGTCAAACACTAACACATCACCTGTACTCGAGCACACTAACACTATACAAACTCCATGATGATTAATATCTCAATCACAAGAGCATACTGTGGACTAAAAACTCATAGTTTCAAGGTAACACTAAAACTATTACTACAATTCTGTCAATCTGAACATACTCATCTTTACCTTCACTCCATTCTTTTCTTTCTAACATTTTGTTTGTTGATTAAAAAACAGTAAATTTTCATATATTACTCAGATATCTGATACATTAGATAAGAATGATGCATTCAATTATTCACTGGGGCAAGTTTAACTATTTCTACAGAAATTCATGGATACCAAATAGTGCTATATTTTCAGAAACCCTTACATGTGCCATATTATTACTGTCAATAAAACATTCTATATTTTAGTACTTTTTTAAGATGTTTTTTTTCCAAAACTTATCCCTAAGTTATTGACATTATACAATGCCATCCATATTTTGCTCTATATGGATTTTCCCTTAACTGTCACAAGTAATATTCTGTTTCTTGGATTTTGTCACTTGTCATTGACCCCTGCCTAAGCTGTATTACAAGTAATGACGTGGTGAGCTATAATCAATGCTAGTGATGCATTTAATCTATTTTATAATGAGTTAAATCAGAGTGACTGATAAGTTATTATAGTTACTCATGATAATTAATTCATTAAATATGAGCATAGATATGAAATAAAAATAATAAATCACCAAAACTGTGTAAACTTATTCTATCATTAAACTGCTTGGTTTACCAAAATAGTCAAACCATTTATTTTTTTCATTTTGACATATTTCAAATCTTTCCTACACCAATTCTTCAATGGTGTAATATATCCAGAGTATTGCATGCTTCTCCTACGACTACTGTCATAGTGACTGTTTCATTCATGAACTAAAATTTGCAATATCAAAATATCTTATTTAATGGAAACAGCCTATCTCTAAATAGTAATGTGTTAAAGTCCTTTTAGGCTGTAGTAAAATGATCCTCTGTGAACTAGTTTGATGAAGATGAGAGAAGCCTTGTCCAGAGTTTTTATATTACATTTAAGCTGAAACCTAACTTCTGTTTAAATAATCTATTATCACTGCCTTCATACAATTAATAGTGAACAAAAAGATTAGAAAAAATGTTTATGCATAAAATATGCAAATAAACATCTTAAATGCACCAGAATTAACCAGTATATGATTTTTTGGTGCTAATAATAATTATTTTTTACCATCCATGTCAAAGAAGCATCACTGAAGCACATGAAATTCAATGATTTTTCATGTTTTCCCTGACCTGTGGGAACTACATTTCTAGTTCTGTGTAACTAACATTATTCTGAATACCTTTATTATACATAACTGTTACAGTTCTGTACAGCTAACTATTTTTATGCACAGATGAATGTTCACAACATATGGTAATGATTTAAGAAATATACTTTAAAAATTTCATTTCAGTGTAGTTTAGACATGGAAAGTTGTTCAAGTAAACGCATCTTAACTTTGTTTTTTGCTAGCTCTGTCTGAGATCTCTTCACTAATTGGCAATGAACTGAATTTCTTGCAGGGAAGATAGCAGTGATGTCTAGAAATAAAAAGTTGCCTTTCCTATCAGCAAACCACTTAATGACTCGGGGATTTTGCCCAGCCTAATACTGGAACACGAGTGAATGGAGATCATATGCAGGGTAGTGTTTTAATATGCAAACCTGGCTAAGTTCTTGTTGTATGTTTCGTATTAAAAATGTGTATCCTATGTTTAGCAGATTTTTCAGAGATTTTGCTGAACTTTTTGAAGTTCGATTTGACATTATACATATAATTCAATTTAACTGAATCAAGATTTTGGTAAAGTTTTTCATTTAACTGTTCTTTAACACTTTTGTGAGATTTTTTACTCTTATTATAACTTACAATGCAAGACATTGTTTAATTTCAATTTAACTTTGGGGCTTGAATTAAATATTACATGACTCTAGTTTAACTTAGGTAGGCACATCTTGGCTGATGAGACAGAACCTACTAAGGTTTCATTTCCTTTCTCTCTTTCTTGCCATTCCAACACAGCCACAGCAGACAAACTTGCCTTTGCTTTACTGCTGTGTTTGTGATTGCAATTTTTCTTACTTGTAAATAAAGATTGTTTATGTACATCTTCCATGATTTGTCATTGTTGATGAACTCTATCAGAGATCAAAGATATAAACAATATACTTTATAACTGGACATCCTCTGCACCTCCAATTAGCAGACCACATCTCACTACCATGTGAAATCTGCAAGCCAGAAAGTACCATAACCTTGAATAAATTTGTTACTTCTCAAGACTTGTGATTACATATTGACTACAGATGTATCATGAATAAACAATGTTGCTTCTCAAGACTAGTAACCTTACAAATAGAGAAATGTTACTTTTTGCACTTCAGGAATACTGTGAATGGTGCTGGGTGATTAACTTGTTTAACTGATTATCAGTTAGCATTATATAAAATTATGATTTCATCGATTAATGTTGTGAAAATAATCAACTAATCAAATCAGTTTTCAATTATTACTGCTTTTGATTATTCTAAATATCCAAGTAATCACAATATTGCCATTATGATTTCTCATTATTTTGGTGAATTTTAGTTTGTTCATCTTATTTTCAAGAGTTATGACATTAATCAAAGTGTTGAATTGGCTAACTTAGTATTGGATTATCACTGTGTACAAAATAACGATTAATTTACACAAATGATAATCTTATGCTCCTTTATCACAAACAAGTGAAGTGGCACACACTGTTAAATTTATAATCCTTTTGTACATTAAAATGCACCAACAGTGCCCATGTGCTTGATCACCTCAATATAGTTATGGTAGTATAAAATAATAAACTTGATCCCCAAAACTAATCAATCACAAAATAACGTTTATTTTCCTGAACACACATTTAGTAGTTTTAGTAATCTTGTAAAATTATATTTGTAGTGAGAAACCCATAGAACAGCATTAATCATATTTTCAGCTTGTTACATATTTCATACTGTGTTGTGTATATAATACATTGTATTGTACAACAGTTTAGGATTAAAAAAAAGTAACTTAGATTAAAATCACATTCAATGAAGGGTAGCTCAAAAATTTCTTAAAAAACAAACAAAAACAATCCAAAAATAGGAAGATTAGTTTCATGAGAGAATATTCAATTAGCTGAACATAATCTATTCAAGAGGCAGACACTTAATTAATTCCAGTATTCATCCAGTTTTAAATATAAATAAACAGTTACTTTTCAAGGGTGGTGACTATACGTGTTGCAGAATGTTACTTTACAGACTATGGACATATCATGATTAAGCAGTGTTGCCTCACAATAATAGTGAAAATGGTCACTGTTATTAGAGTTAACTTTTTACTCTGGTTACCATTCTTGTTTACAAATGTCAGCTGGTTTCTTGGTCAGTCATAATGATAGAAGATGAAATAAACTTCAGCTATACATTTTCTTACCAAATTCATTGATCATCCCTCTACCATACTTCATGCAAATTAACCCTATCCACACGGGTCAAAGGCCACATCATCACATTTGTTGACTCGCATTCAAAATTTTATTGAACTACTATTTTATGAATTTATGTCTGTAAGTTTGGTATTAAATTGTATATTATAATTCAAATTTTAGTATCATACATTATCTAATCTTTTAATTTAAAAGTAAATATTAGAAAAACACACCTAAATATTAATTTTCGTGTGTCACGTAGTATGATGAATGTAGCATGGGTTCAAATTAGATGTTTGTGATATTCAAATACAAAGTTTATAGTTTCTTACAAACTAGGAACTCAAATTACCAATATTGATAAGTTAGAATATCAAATAAGAACCCTCTATCTTTTCTATATGCTGAGATTTTGACAAATTTATTGAATCAAACACAGTGGTCCTGCCCAATTCTTTCCATTTTTGAAAACACATGTACATACACTTACCCTAGTGGCTTTCAGAGCATAATTGAATTACTCAGGTTCTAAACTCATTTTTTTCAAGCTTGGATTCAAAAATTTAAGGTGAAACTTTAGTGAAATCAAAATTTCATATCTTTTTAGACCCAAATACAGCTTAGTTACTAAGTTTGATAAATTATAGTGGAATTCTATGGTACTGATATTGTAATTTATGATTTTTGGTTATTTCAAAATGTATATATAAAACAAACAATTATTTCATTTCACATCCTCCACGTGCAAATTTTTATTAGGCTTAGCAGTCTATGGGAAGAAGCAAACTAGTACAAAGTTCGTAACTAGAAGATATAATTGCTTGCTATACTTATTTACTTAATGATTATATGTTTTAAGAAAAATAAGTTTAAGAACTTGTTTGTAAATAGTAATAATGTATATATTCTAATCCACTAAAACATAGCCAACACATGTCACTTTGTAAATGTCAGTTTTATATTCTTGGATATGGTAACATGAGTGCACCTGCATCATGTCATTGTAACTTCTGTAATGTTAGTCAGGCACGGCTGAAAGGT